GCTCAGCTGACCGTGTTGCCAACTGCCTTTGCGTGCGCCCGATGTATTTGCACCCGCAACTACATGTAAACTCGTAAACGCTGTTTGAGATGGCGTGCATCGGCAGTGTCTTTGGTTGGCCTTACTGGAATGGCCGTTGTTATGCTTTTGTACAACAATTTGCAGGCGGCGTAGGTTCTTTCAATCGTGCATCAAAGCCTTCGCTTGATCACGTTAGACACATTATCACCCTTGAAGGGGAGGAAGGTGCTTACTGACTTTTTGCCACGTATATTTCAATAGAATTTTCTTGCCTGCGTTTGCTATACTTATCGATGAATTTCTCAGGATAGCCATTTGCAAGAAACACTTTCTTGAAAACGCACATATTTTCATCGATCGTATCCGTAGAACAGATTCTAGCAGCTCTACTGAAAAGGCAAAATACCAAGTTTCATTTCCTTTGGATTGGAACGAAACTAAGAAAGTGTATGTATTGCCCTTTCCATGTGGTTTCACCCAACTTGTGATCTTCGTCTTGTTCAAGACGAGAATTGGCTTCAGCAATAACATTTGCTCAGAACATGTACGTCTAAAGGTTAAAGCAGTAAGCCCTTAGTTCCTCTAGTCTATTCGTCATCTTGCACTCCTCAGAGTGGGAAAAACATACATTTGAACTAGTCGATTTGGTAAAATGCACTTTCTGTAGATTATTAACTGGCTTATATGTTGGCCTACTAGATAAGTAAATCCAGTACTGTAATAATTGTATGCTTGTCTATCAGCCGAGGCTGTAAATGTTCATCAAGTAACATGGACTCACAGACACCATCTCCGTAGGCCCCGTTTTAGGTACATTCAAATAGAGTTTTGCCTGATTTCCAGTTAGTTTGAGACTAGTCACTGACGTCCCTAATTAACTCAGAATTGTAGGATGAGACAACCCGGTTTCTTACAGTACATATAATTGCTACTAGTAGATGATTCACAAGCCTGAGATAAGCCGCGCTGAAAACTTGCAACAATAAGCCCGACTCGATTGAAAGTCTTAAATGCAGTTTGGTCGATTTTATAATTTTTGTGATCTGTAAATAATTTGCAAGAACATAAAGGCTCCCACCAATATACACATCTTAAGTCTCAAGAAGAAACACTGTTCTTCATACTTTTAGAAACCTTTTTATATGCGATTCTTATGCCTGATATAATTTACAAAGGCCAAGCATAGGAGCAACATTGTGCTTAAGAAAGATCGCTTTAAAAATATAATGGAGGTTGATTAAATTAAATTACATATTCTTACTCAGTTAGATCCTTTCTAAAAATACATTTCTCCTAGGAAAAGTGTTTCAGCTTCGAAAATTTACAAGATTGGTAAAACATGCCGCCTTATCAATTTCCATTGAGTCTGCCTCCCAGAAAATAAGATATTCGTTGATGCTATTCATATAGCTGTTAAAGTCTCCATGCAGACAAATTAATTTTCACTAGCCGAAGATAATGGATGATGGACTTTCTGTAATAAAAGACTTCCGGTTATCATTTTTTTTGCAGAGCAAGTACAAAAAGTTCTTCGAACGCTAGCAGCGGATATGACTAAAGCATCCGCTAAACCTCTTGATACTACTGGCCAACTCATGATTCGAGTGTCCTACGCAGAGCTTGGCATTCCCGACATGGGCAACCTTCAAGGCGTCTCCGTTGTAATTACGCCTCTTCAAGACCAAAATATGCTCCAAAGTCCCGCTTGGTCCTCTGCGTCGGACAAGAAGTTGCAGTTTGTTGGTGGAGTAAGCAAAGCGATCGTTTTTATAAATCGGACTGTAGGTTAGTCTGTAGCGGTCTAAGCAGTGCTTGTACTCGGAGCATTATAATTATCAGGTCAAATCTAAAGTTTTAGGTAAAATACGGGAGGCACCTGTTGCAACCTAGTGTGTTCGTGTGTAAATACTGGTTGTCTCATCCAGTACGTGTTAGGGAGAGAAGACGTAACAGGATAACAGCTAGTACTTTACTGTCAGTTGTACAAATACATCAACTCTATTTCCGTGTGTCCAGCAGCTTGCCTTCTGGGTTCGGTCTCATCTCGGCAGCAGTCTCTTTCCCAGGGCAACAACAGAGTCCTGTTCTGCTCGCAGCCTCGCTATTTAAGGGGCAATAGTCATTACTCCCCATTGGCTCTCCATGTGCGCGCTTTGCCCCTGGTCAGGCATGACCTCAAGGTGACAGCGGTCTCGCGTGCGCATAACGTCTTAAACTCCTTGCGTGGTTTCTGCCGCTGAAGGTCGCATTACTTTGCCCGTTCTGTATGCGCCGGACTGGCCTGATCGCACGCCTTTGTTCCGGCGTGACCTCGGATGTCTGTCTGTCTGGATGACGTGCTCGGTCATCCTAACAGCACCAGAATGAGGGCTTTATTGTACGCACAACCGTAACTTGCTGTCTTAGGTAGCAGTGGCCATTGCCTAAGCCAGGATTGAGTTTGACTGCGTCCAGTCCTGCCTGAGAGTACCCGACTGTATGTGCGAGGTGATGGTGGTAGCTGCTCTTACATGACTGTTAAGCAAGTTCAAATGATGTAGGACTAGTGGCTTGCATTGCCCAAATGAGGTATCAAGTAGTGAGGCCCATGCTGCATCGGTTGCGGGGTGATGTGTTCAAATGGTTCCAAATTAGCGGGTCGCGAATAGCCGCCCGCAAAGATGAATGACGTTGGGCCAGTGGAAATTGAGCATTTAGGTGGTCCGCAAATGCAAAAATGCTCTTTATCTAAGGGGTATTTGCTAGTTGCTACCATTTCTGATGAATCAGATCAGCTGGCCCATTTTATATATGTTTATATAATACGAAGTTGTAACATGTGTTGACATTATCATTCATTCAAAAGGGCATTCCTTTCTATCTTTCTTGGCAACCGATATTAGCTGCATGAGTTGTCGTAATGGAGGCTCAGGCCGAGATATCACCGCTCAATAACGCTTTGTGTGAGTCCCCAGAGGAAGAACACAACAAAAGATGTGCAAAGGCCGAAGTGTAAAAGATACAGCAAATTTAGGGGAACGAACGTGTGTAAGATAGGTCCACGATCCAATCAGCTTCTCTTCTAGATTGGCCACCAATGCGATTGGCTGGGACTCATAGATTGACATTCAGCTTGAATTTTAAAATTATCGATTGATTGACGGCCTGTGTACGCTCGCCCGTGTAGGTCGATCGATAGCCTGCTTCGAGTGCGGCTATCGCCTGCAAGCTATCTACTTGCTTACACTGTTCGTTAGGTCGTCCTTACATTATTAAAGTAGGACAGTTCGAATTCAGAATAAAATTTTAAAAAAGCGTAATTTGCTATGAAACAAATACAAAAGAGGATGTTTTCGTGCATGCTTTCAATACAATATATTTTGATTTCTGCAAATATTCCCATTCTTAAGTTGAGAAGTCAAGTTGGCAAACATA